GTATCAATAGTGTTAATTCCTATTAATTAGAATATTAAGATAATATTAGTTCTAAGCTGAAGAACGAAGACAACCGACGAGGGAACTTAGTTTTTTATAGGTTTAGGCTCAAGAAAGAAGTCATCCGCCGAGGGATTTTAGTACCGATAGTATTAGATAGTTAAGATTTAAGTTATTTATAAGGTTTATTGTGAAAGGTGGGAAGATGTAGAACTTGTGATTCCATCTACTTGCCTTGGGCCTCCACTCGCAGCAACCTCCTCGTGGTGAGGCCTGGGCAATCGGTATTGTCATCGGTAAAGTACTATAAACTGAAGACAATATCGAACTAGGATTATTTTAGAAATCGATATGAAATTCAAAGTGTAAAAATGTCTACTACTTTGAATGTTTTAGAAAATTATTCGAGATAAAGATGTATGGAACTACTGAAAATTACTTTAGATTCCTTTTCCTTATTCTGTAAATTCATTGATTGGAATATGAATGCTAATGGAAGTATGAATATTTTCACAGGACGATGATATAAATGGAACTTTAACACTTTTTTAAGTGTTACAGTGATATTTCGTTGGCCTCCGTATTAGCGTACTGCGCCGAATACGGATAGCATGATGTAGTCGCAAGGGAGCAATTGAATCGAATAGACGTATTGTACCGTAACGCATCGTATTGTATTTCAAACTTTCATATCATTATAATTTATATGTATAGTTGTATATTCCAATAAACATACGTCAGGTAATATAAGCCTCATTTCATCGAATTGTCTTAAATATAACTGCATAAATATTGTACAATCCTGTACTAGTAATAGTTGTCTGGTTCAACAGGTTACTACAGAAACTAACTATTGCCTACGTCTTTTAAACTTGGGCTGTAGTAGCACCTGCAGAAACTGCCATGGTTGCTGGGGTTACTATATAATTTGCTCACGGAAAACGCACAAGTATCAGTTAGTTTTCGACAGTTGCACGAGCAACATTAGACCGAGCTCGAGACTCGTACGAGTAACAGGATCACGTTTCAAAACTCTTGTGCATGCTTCGAGGGTTCTATGACCCCACTCCCACACAGACGGGATCTTTCGTACATTACCGGGGCTTCCATGACCCCACGGTCTCACCACACGCGATTCCTGGCGCCTCGTCTGCGGGTTCTATGACCCCACGTTATCATCACACGGGGTCCCTGACGCCTCCTTATGGGGTTCTATGACCCTCGGACTGACCACATGGGGTCTCTGGCGCCTCCTGCGGGGGTTCTGTGAACCCACGTTCTCACCATTGGGGGACTCTGGCGCCTCCACCGGGGGTTCTATGGCCCCACGATCTCTCGACACGGGGTCCCTGACTCCTCCACCGGGGGTTCTATGACCCCATGCCTACACAATGGGTCTCTTACGTATACGTTACCAATTCAAGTAATTTTTAGAATATTGATATTAATTTATGAACCGAGATTCTGGTTTCACAAGTTTCGAGGTTATTGATACAGGAATAAATTAAAATATTATTTTTATTAAGAAAATTAATTACGTGCTTATTATTGTACTTATTTATACAGATTTCTTGAAGAAGAAATAAAGTATAGGAATTGAGAGGAAGGTGATGATGGGATTAATGAACAACGCATATGTACCGTTTTATTGTCTTTTATTTAAACAATTCTATAGAAATATACAGTTTACAATATAAGATCACAAAGAGACATACAATTAAAATTATCGTATAAGATAGTAAGATTGTCAGCATTAATGGAATTTGGATTATTCCGACATGCTGTTGTTCTACGCATGGAATTTTGACATTCATTTTAAGCCTATTCATTTTTGTAGTAGGTTGAAATACTCAAAGTCCCATAAATTTCATTGTCATTCCAATTTTGAAAGTGCTACATACGGTTCTCATATCTGTACAAAATGTTAAGTTTGTTTCGTTTCATAATTATTCATGGAAAAACCAGTAGTCTCTCTATACTTATATGTAGATGTAATATGATTATACGTACTGTTGTGAAATTGTTGTATTTTTCATATCCAGTTTATTGACCTAGCCGTGTACGCTGTATATGATGGTTGTTATAGGTTTAGGCTCAAGAAAGAAGTCATCCGCCGAGGGATGTTAGTACCGATAGTACTACATAGTTAAGATTTAAGTTATTTATAAGGTTTATTGTGAAGGGTGGGTAGATGTAGAACTTGTGATTCCATCTACCTGCCTTGAGCCTCCACTGGCAGCAACCTCCTCGTGATGAGGCCTGGGCAATCGGTATTATCATCGGTAAAGTACTGTAAACTGAGGACAATATCGAGCTAATGGCTGCGAACTTCGAATCTATCTCATAAAACCAATATGAAATCGATATGAGACTTAGTGTAAAAATGTCTAGTAGTTTCAATGTTTTAGAAAATTATGCGAGATAAAGATGTATGGAACTACTGAAAATTACTTTATGCAGTATGTTAAAAGTCCACTGTATTCCAAAAAGTATTCAATAATACATATCCTTAATTTTTATTACAGGCAGTATGCAATACAAAAGAAGCACGTAATTTTATACCAGAGCTTCAATATAGTCATAGTTTAAGCAATTTATATTTCTTGAAATATGATTGTACTTTTTCCTTAGGATAAGGTTTTGTTGATAAACATGTTGGAATATTTTCAGGTTGTTCAATCCACAATTTATGATGGATATCCTCCTTTTTTAATTGTATAGATAAAGTATTTAAGCTGGTCTCATCTGGAGCCTAGTATTCAAATATATAAATATATTATTAATGTTACCATATTTCTTTGCTAGTTTAACACCATTATATAAAACAATTCTGCAACATAATACTATTTAATTGATCATGTCTGGTTATACTTACTTCCAGTACAATTTTATGCATATTATCTAAATTCGCAAGGTATATTTGCGTGTAAGTGTCATTATAAAACAGGTGCATAACAGCAGTGCAGGCATGACACGCTTGAGCTACAATTGCACCTACAGGCCATTTCATTGTCTTCAAGAGGTCTCCCCGTACCACAACATACTGAACTATCTCGCTCATTCTAATACTGACAGACTTCCCTAATTTTTCTAAAGTAAAATAAAATTGTAAAATAAGTAATACTATTTGTTATCCAGTGATTATTCAATCTTATTGAATCCCTTAATAAAATTGAATAATATATTACATAACTATACCAAGTTTTAATCCTCTATTTCAACCAGGAGACTAGTAACAGGGAAAATTCGGATTACCGGTTTTCCTCTATTTTCCCCATTTAATGGTATGCAAAAATTCTGTAAAAAAAATCTGGTAGATAGTGCTCACTGGGGCACGAATTTAATTTAATTTATTTTTTTTTTTTAATCAAAATTATAATTGTAAATAAATTGACACTTCTTTATAACCTATATGAAAAACGTTTTATAGGTTAGAAACACGTTATAGATATTTTCATTCCATATTTACAACATTTACGACATTTAACGCACGTGTCTCTTATAAAATAAACAATTCGCATATTTACCCACCTCTGGTAACAACTGGTTATTAGGGCAGTCAGCCAAACTTGCAAATCCAAATTTTGTTCAGTGCCTGTTATAAAGTTATGGCTACAAGTTTGATACAGAATTTGCTATAAACAACTTGCGCGCAGATAGACAACGAATTGGTAGCAACACATCCAGCAAATTAGTTCGCGCAGACTCTGTTCCGTTTTTGCCCCCAATTTGACACAGGTTATGTTGCAAGACTTGCTGCCAATTTGCTTTACCACTTTGTCAGCTGACGTTGCCTGCAAAACCGAAGCCAAATGCGGAAACAGATGGCTATGTTTTTTTAGACAACTTTTGTCATTATTTGCTGATAATTTGCTCGAAACTTGTACACAACTGGATATCAGAGTATTTATAACAACCTGTAAATATATATTTTTGACATAGAAAATAGCAGAATAATTGCGTTGTCTATTTTTCTGTTTATAAGTATTGCCAATGTTAATTTTATTGATGACTAAGTATATAATTATTTATGTCTGGGAAGATTAACATTAAGATCAGCAAGCACATATGATACTGCTGCAAACAAGGCTGTTCCTTGATTCAGAGCTTCTGGATTCTCAACCACCATTGTGTCAGCATTTGAATGATGATAATAGAAGTATTTTTCATTCTGTGTCCAAAGTGATCCACCTGGTATGCCTTTGTCTATCCAATAAGAAATATCAGGTCCTGCATTGGGACTTCGCACTTTCATTGTTCCCATGGAATGTAACAGGCTGCAAAAAATTATTTTTGATACAATTAATATGATACAGTAATATTTTCAATTCTAATTTGCATATACCACTGACCTCATAATTTTTTCTAGTATGCATTTAACTTGTTCTGTACCAGTAAACTCAAGACCTAAAGGCTTGAATGTACCCATGTCTGATTCCATGACAAACTGGAGATTCTTTTCTTCAGCCTCATGAGAGTTGATATATGAACGAGCTCCTATGATACCAAGCTCTTCAGCTGTCCACATAATCATTCTATAAATTATACCTTAAGTATACCAAGAGATAACAATATAAGTAGTTTGTAAACCTTGTGGAATCACAAACAGGAATGCAGGTCTAGCAATTAACCAAGGACATCATGGCAGTTATCTTGCTGGTATGTAAATTATTTTGTCTTCTAAATGACATTCTTTTTTAATCTAGTTCGGACAATTTTTGAAATTTTGAAAATAGTCCTAAATATGTTAGGTTTACAAAAGAACCTCCTGTTTATGATCCTACTAAATTTACTATCTCAGTATACTATTACAAGAAAACCCATTTGTTTCATTTCAGATGTGCATTGTTTGAATTATAAAATTATTATGTCACAAAATATTTGGTACTCCGAAAATAATAAAAAATAATGTGATTTATTTTATACCTAACTTAATAGTTAATTGCTCTGTAAAGAGATGAGAAGTATACAATTTTTTTTTTTCGCCAAAAACAATAGAAAATCACCTTATTGTTCGACGAGGTCGATAATTAAGATGTTTCAACAGTCTCAAGGCCTGCCATGAAATAAATGCTCCACCTCCATCATCCATTGCTCCCTGACCAACATCCCAACTATCTATATGACCAGATACTACTACTGTTTTCTCTGGCATTGTAGAACCAATTATTTCTGCTACTACATTTCGTGATACTTTATCTGCCAATGTTTTGGCTTGCATTTTTAAATTAATTTTTATGGTTTCACCTAAAGAGTTGTAACAGTAGAGTTATAATGTGTATAAAAATGAATAAATATTATAGACCTACAATTACCTCTCATAGACATTCTTCTTAACAAGCTTGCATCCTCAGCTGTAATACATGCAACTGGAATTTTAGTCACATTTGCAGCATAACTCTGCATACCCGTATGTGGTGTATATAATGAGTATGGTGTAACTGATTTAATCAAAGCAGCAACAGCACCATATTTAGATGCTTCTGATGCTCCAGCACTTCTATATTTAACTGTTTCACCATATGAAATATACTTTTGATTATATACAACTATTTTTCCTGGTACCTAAGAAGAAATACATAAAAGTTGGAAGCTGAAATTTATATACTTAAATGTTTCATAGGTTTTAAAGAAAACATACTTCATCTTTCCTTTTATCAAGTTCTTTGAAACTGTTTACAACAATAGCCTCTGCACTTATTCCTTCAGGTAGAGTACCAACACTGTAACCTAATCCCAAAAGAGCAATCTTTTTACGCCTTGGTTTTAAAAGAGTTGCAGACTCTTCTCCCCTAAAAGGTGAATATTTTTATAATATAAACTGTAAAATTTATTAATAATATTGTATAGAAAATTTATTTTAATTCTAATGAATACATCATAACATAGAGCATTTATTTCACGAAATTTTAATTTTGTTTAATTCATGTTGTAGGTATGCGAAACATTTAAAATTATTAACCACCAGTTATCAAACATTACCTAACCCAATGAGGCACAACCACAGATTCTCCATGTATATTTTCTAAACCAAATTCATGTGATTTGTTTAGTACATAATTAATTGATTGTTCAAGCGTTTCTGTACCAGTGAATCTGGGACCAAATTTGTCCACAAAATTAGCTAATTCATTCCAAGTGGTTCCTTTGAAAGAACCTGATGTTGTTTCGTTTATTATAGTTTGCACTAATGAACTGTATGATTCAATCTCTTGTAACAACTTCATTGACAAGTTACATGTATTAACATCCTCTTTAATCGTGGTATCGAGTGATATCACAAATTGTACTCGAATGATCCACATAGTAATAAAAATTCTTACATGGCACAACATTGTGTCAAATATTACTTTATGAAGTTTATAAAAATCAGTTTAATCACTAAAACAAATGACGTTTCTTTTCACAATAATTACATATTGTAGTTTCTGATAATAAATGAACCGGACTGTAACATCTTTGAAAACTGTATGATACAGATAAGGCCCGACGCACCCGAGCGACACGTTCTCGCACTGTCTCGCAGTCCACTGTCCATTTATTTATATCACATTTATATCAGGCAATTTACACGTGATGCAGATTTCGGCGGCAACTTTGTGTTCTGTTTGCGTTTCAACAAATGAATACTAAAACTCGACTAGGACGCAACGTTTTAGCATTGCAGACTCCTCTCGATTCTCGTCTGACTCGTTCTACACGATTATTGTCCAGGAGTTATCTATACAACTGGGGGGGGGGGGGGTAGAACCTGTATAGCGCATACTTTGTTGCCCCTCCGCTTTTGTTGCCGAGGCTCGGGCTTCGAGTAGAAAACAAATTTACGAGAGGCTGAAGCATTTCTCTCTATAAGATTATTGTCGCGGCCCGGACCTCAGTTCGAGACGATAATACAGAGGAGACTGTACATATATTTATATGAAGCGATTCACACGTGATGTGACGCAGGTTTCGGTGTCAACATCACGTTTTCTGAAATGAACGCAGATATTGCAAATCACAAATGTGACGCTATATCTCAGCGGACAGTCAATTATTTTTCTCGAGCAATTCATATATCCGGTATGCGTCATTTATTATACGAATAAGCAATATTGCTCCAGCATCAAAACGAAAACGACTTTTAGATGGCATGACGATTCAATTTATGACAACACCTTATGAGGTGTGATCCACGAGACAAAAAGCAATGATATTGCCACTAATATTCATACAGTTATTTGAGCCACTGTTATTGAAACAGAACATTCAAATATGTCGTTGAATTCGTCTTGAAATGCTTAATAACGTGACAGTAATAAAAATATGTACATAGTTCCGGTTTAAAAAAATTACAAGTGCTGTTTTAGATGAGAACATAAAAAATTGTGAAAGGAAATTTAGAAATGGGTACCTGGGTACTCTGGTACCCGATTGCCTACACAAGGGTTAAAGGTGGGTAGAACATTGTCCAAGGAATGTTCTATGGCAACAATGATTGAAGATATCGGCAGGTAAATTACCAGCAAATTAGATTGCCGAGTTTTGTTGAGGCTTCCGTAAGCGAATCGAGAAACCTACCAAGAGTCAGCTCCTCTCAGAACTTCATCGACCTCCGGCAAGGTGAGTGCTATCACAGTGCTACCCTAATATTCGGCAAGAGCCACCGGATTTCCTGTGACACGTGCCCGAGTTTCCTTTTCGAAGCTTTTCGTGTTTCGAAGCTCTACGGGTAAGTGTGAAACCCAGAAAGTATGTTTTGCAAATATTATTGAGAAAAAATTGCGATTCGATTCTGCGAGTAGTACCTATATCTGGTAGTTGACAAGTATATGAAGAACTGACGAGCATATTTTTTACAACAAAATATGAATTCCTTAATTATCCTTGCATTCAAATATTCAGAAACACAAATACAATTTATGTTTACTATATTCAAGTTAAGAATAGTATACAGAGCGTTCATTCTAACGGTACCTATTCACGATTTTTCAGCAGCTTGCAACAATCTAATAAACGGAAAGGTTATTAACCGAAATCTATCGATTTTAAGTGGACAACGTGTAAGATAACAAATATTTCGAAAATACATTTCTTTCATAGTGAATTCAAGATCACCTTGAGTTTTTTAAATTGGAAATGTATCATTTTTTCCCATTATATTGTAGGGGATATTAAGAGAAATTTAACCGGAGTAGAAAATATGACACTTTGTTTTCAGGATACTAAATTTACAGCAGTTGAATTATTTCCATAAGAGTATCATATTTTTGTACTGGTTAAATTCGTCTTAATGTTTCCTACAACATAATGGAAAAATGATATAGTTCCGATGACAAAACTCAAGGTGACCTTGGATTTACTATGAAAAAAATGTATTTTCGAAATATTTTTTTATCGTTATACGTTGTCTACCTAAAATATATAAATTTCGGATAATAACTTTTTTTTACCTTGCTGCAAACAACTGAAAAAATGTGGAAACCGTTACAATGAATATCCTGTATATTTTGAAACATGTGATATTACTTGTGAATCACCTTGTACAGACATATACACACGTAGCAATATACATATATACGTATATCGAATTATTTGCTTAAGACCTATTAAGACGACTTTTTCCTTTTCAATTTATGAAAATTATGTTCTTTTTTACGTTAATTTTTTGTTGTGTACGATGGATACTAAAGTGGGATTTGTCACTAGGTCACTTCGAATCGAATAAAATGGGATCTTAATTAGCCAAATATCATTTATCCGAATATTCTTTAACCCTGCTTTTGATTAACTGAATTCTGTAGGTCCATTTACGTGAATTTTATTACACAATATGAATTGACAAGAAAAAATTATCGTAAAAAGAAAAAATTAACTGAGTAGAACAACAGACTTGTTATAGTTTAATTTCAAGTTACTTTTGAGAATATGTGCTGTAGTGTGTTTTAGAAATAGTCTTCAGATAATATGGAAAATAAAACGATAATACATTGTCCAAAATAGTTATTGTATGAAAAATATTCCGACAGGCAATTTCAAAAATTTAAAAATGCAATATAGCAACTGTTCCTAAAGGCTTCGATTACATAAAAAATTTGTTTACTTGAACGTAGTTTCTTAAAATATGTTTCAATATCTATTTTCATAATGAAAGAAATTAAAGTAGAAAAACAGTCTTTAAAATATTAAATGTCAATGTTATGAATGAGATCATTCTCGTTTGTGTGTTTTTATATGGGAAATGGTTTCTTTAGTGAAACACTTCTACATTAAAAAAACAATTATCGGACTCGTTTCAACACTATTACTGTTGGAGGACATGGAAAAAATGAAAAGAAGAAATTATATAGAAACATGTGTCCAATTTAATATTGCTACCCAGTTATAGCTATTTTTGTTCTCCAATAATTTTTAATGATCAAATGTGGTCAATCACTAAAAAAATTCTGTTCTTTTTTCTTTGAAATCACGAATTTCGGCGTCACTAATTTAATTAATCATTGTTTTCATTATATTCTCACACAATTTTTATGACTACTTAGTATTTTTAACTTCACACTTTGACAGTATTTATTTATTTTCTGATGTATACCGAATTTTATATTCTGTATTTTGTAGACTTCATATTTAATCACTTATACTTTCAAATTTAATATGATAAAGTTTAACGAGGTCTTTAATTTGTTTAGAACTTACAATTAGTAGAACATGTTTTTATAGAACAAACTTTCTGCCTGATTACCACTAAATTTGACCATCCAGTCTTTTTGTTTCATTTGTATGTCTACTAGTAATCCTTCAAATGACTTTACGAACAAAGTAGCATTTAAATAGTCAAAAACGTGGTTAAATGTAAATCGCATAATTCCAGTGGTACCATGTTAACATCAAGTTGAGTCATAAATTACCTTGGACACCATAGACACTGAAAAAATTACTAAATGGTACTTAAAAAGCGCCGATTATGAGAACATTCAAAATGAATAACAACTAAGTAGTGTAGTCATAATTGAAAACCACTAATATGTTAATATTAATTACAAAATCTAATTTACCCATAGAAATCTAAAGCAGAAAAACAGAAGTCATTTATAATTGAAATTCACTTTTCTTAAACAACAGTACGGTGTTCAAAGGGTACGGCGATATTTATCACCCTCGAGTTCAACAGCCTGGACCCAACGGTCCAGGTGTTGCTCACCTCAGCAGCGCTTTCACTGTATTCCCAATCATCCCTAACCACTGTCAGACAACATCCAAAGAAAATTCGATGATTTAATCTCTGCCTAATGATACATAGGTCATTTTACATCCATTTGTAGCTAGAAGTGTCTCACATAACATCAGGCATTATACGCATTAACGGAACTACCCTTACAGCACAAGCTAGTCCAAACTATCCGTTTCAATGACAAAATGTCACCCAGAAATTTGGAAACAATCGAGAATACGAATTCAATTAAATCCCCCCAAGCATCGTTGTCTGAGCGTTCCATCATCGTTTGTACAGTAATGTCTCGATGAGTGTGACGAACTCGGATCCGCTTCGGAGCATCCATGGAAAAGGTTTTTAGTCCCTCATAGATTTGTCTTTTGCACGGAGCCGAGCCTCTTCTTAGCTTCTGTTTACTTTGTTTCGATTGGGTCCAGAGGGAGACCCCCAATAGTGGGAATAACGCCGTTGTTCGTGTCGCATTCATCGAGGACTCACTGTATTGGCGAGGGTTGAAAATTCAAATGGGTGACGTATGCAATGTAAACGATTTCACTCCTGCTGATGGGGCCTTGCAGATTATCATCTGTGTTGGGGGTCTCCCTACGAAGATGGTGTTCACCGTGCAGTGCACCTCTCGCAGAATCGAATTTCCTGTTGCCTGCCGTTGGTGACGTAGTAGTTCTCTCTCGGTGTGCTCCATTAACAGGAATCCCCATACACAAACACACAGAGAGAGAGACGTCGGGTTCTATTGATTTTCCTTAGAGGCGCAAGCGCTATTCGGCTCTTATCTGGCGAAAGAGAGGCGCGGCTATAACCATGGATCCCAGTGTGCTCGCCAACATGGACAAGGACGCGTTGAAGAAGCAGATCGAGAACATGAAGTACCAAGTGAGCATGGAACGATGGCCCCTGTCGAGAAGTATCGCCGCGTAAGTTCGTTAATAATTTTTTTTTTCTTTCACCGGGGCATCCCCGCCGGATTCGCTTGTAATTCTCAATATATTCTTTTTTTTTTTCGCCGCCGTTTGTATTTTTATTTTCTTTCAACTTTTTGTTTATAGTACTCGTACCTGTAACCACCTCCTCGCTCCAAGCTTGTTAAAGATGCACGAGCTATGGCGCCCTTTACACACTAATTATGAACAGTACCGTGAAGATGCGACGCCCACAGATATTTATTAAAAAGTGGTCCCCCCCCGTGTGTACCTGAGTGAATTTAGAAACTGACGGTAGTATTTCATTTGCTTTACGTGGTGCGTAAGGTTACTGTTTTCGAACAAGTGTACCTTTTTTTTATATCGTTTTGCTGATTAATATAAGAGAAAAGTGACACGATTCTGTCCTTGTTTATGTTGTTTTTTAATCTATTCTTTTTGTCTTCTAATAATTTTATATCGTGTACGCTACTGAAATAGTTCGAGGTATTTGTGACTTTAACAACATCGGCACATTGTTTGTGAACTTCGTGTTCTATAACAGTGTTATTTTATGTTTGGAATATTTTATATAGCAGTTCTTTTAGACTATTCTGTTGATTTATTTTATTCGGAATATATTTGAAATGTGGCCTCTGATCTGTATTAATTTGTATTTATTGGGTATATCAATAAATGTGTGTTTACTTGAATGTTTTGTTTTATATATATATTTTTTTTTACGATTGTACATACATAATTGTGTTATATCTTACTAGGACGTTGAATGTATGCCCCAGTATTATGCAAACCCTGTTTTAGATATTTGTCCGTAGAACCTGCAGTTTGGATTATAATGTGACTTCTTCCGTTAATGTATCTATTTAACAACTTTGTGAACATAAATCGAGAAATATAAACTAACATTATTAATCACTAGTTAGTTCGACACAATTTTCTTCGAATAACACATAGTGAAAAGTAACAGTATCTAAGAGTGTCATCCTGTGCTCTAAATAGTTAACGGGATTCAGTACCACTGTTCAAAAATGTTTCAAATTGATGAAACTAAACCAGGTTTTTAGTGTTACGTGGGGATGATTTTTGTGTATCATTTTTGTGTAACACATTACGTATAATTTCGTTGCTGAATTTCAAACAGATTTATTACAAGGAATAAAATGCTACTGCTTTTCATAAGTGTTTGTTATACGAATTGTCGTTTTTCATTATTTATTGTCACTGTTACATGAAAAAATTTGGTTTCTGTTCATTTGAATAAATATTTCTTTACTGTGAAATTTCTGGTATACTAACTAATCCGTATGCTTTGAGATAAAAGTTTTTTCTAGAGTTTTACCAACATTTTACTCCGTTGTAATCCATTGTAATCCACTTTTATACTTTATCACAAGTGGGGATAGTTGTTACAAGTATAGTCTATTATAATTACAGATACTCTTGTGAAAAAGAACTACAAATAAACACACCGAAAGGTAAAAGAAAGTAACATAAAAAAGCAGTAGTTTATATTCAAAATATTTTATCTTAGATATATCGAAATAAGTAGAATTGTTGTATAAATTGCAAATTCACTTACATTATATTACATACTCCAATATTACTTTTGCAAATATATTTTTTCACAAGAATTCGCTCATTTTTCTAATTTTTTCATAAAAATCTTACTATTTACGATACCTGTGACAAACAACTGTGTTGTGAGACAACCAACCCTAATGCGCGGAGATTGTCACATTATCCTATTAACCCTATTAACACGAAGCTAGCAGGTATTTACACTGGCATTACAACATTAGTATTGTTTGTTAATAGCAAATACCTACTTTTTCCGTTACTATGAAGAAACATTTTATCTCCGGTCTCCCCTATAAGCGGAGAAGTTCGTTAGTTTATCGATTTGTATATTTTTACCAAGCTGTTCCTTTTACCAACGACGATAGAAATAGAAACACGTTCATTTTCGGTAGTTCCAATAAAGTTGAACGGGTAGTGTTGCCAAAACAAGCGAATTGTTAGACAAATTGGAGAATCCGTGAGAACCATTTGTGTCGACGTAACTGGTCCGGCGCGTGGTGCCACCACACGCGGCTGGACAATTAACAGTCAAGGCTGAATTACACCGACGTTCTTATATTACACGAACGGAGGACAGGATCTCCTTGGACGTGGAGTGTCGGTTAATCGCATATTCGCGTACCGATCACTTTCTGACATTCAACACCACCCAGAAAGCATATGCCGCCTAATGACGCCTTGAAGACGGCTTAAAGACGTCTTAGACCTAAAACAGCCGTAAAATGGACGTCTTCAAGGCGTCGTCTGCTAACTGGGTAAGGATTCATGTACATCTTCGATCAAACTCGGCTTCCACTGGGGGAAAAAGTGGCGTGCGGGAAAGGCCTCCTATACTTGGTAAATTTATTTCAAGAAATAAATGTTAAAATGCATGTCAATTTGGCATAAATTTCAGAAACTTCCGAAACCAAATGGTACAAGGCTCTTTCCCCATGTCACTTTTCCCCGTGGTGGAAGCTGAGTTTGCTCGTGAAGGTACGTTCCTTGTTAGTTAACGTGATAGTGTCCGTTTCGAGCATGCTGCGAAGACTGTATGATCAGGGGAACACATAATACCTGTCTGTCTCAAAAATTTCCGAAATGAAATTTAAAAAAAAAACAGTTTTTCGTAAAACGATAGTACCATTCATCATGAAACCTTGTTGGTTAACAACTCGACCTGCAGGCTCGCGCTATGACTGATCGGGGTTTTTCGTTAATCTCTCGTTAACAAAGCTTCGGATAACATTTTTGCTAAAGAAAAACTTGTTTCAAATTACCTCACGGGTCTCCCATTTCCGGATCCTCCAATATTTTTGTTAAACCCTATATAGCTACGGTGGGAACAAAATGGTTAAAAAGGGAATGGTATGTTTTTCTTTTCCCATTAAAAATTATGGACATTATTGGACAGAGTTCGTTGACAACATTACTGCCAGAGTTGTCGCGATCCACGCTATCGAATAAACGTTGACACAATCTTCCATGGCGGTCTAAACTGCAAAATTATGTGGGCATGCATTGTTTTCCGGGGAAATTAACTTCTCACGGTTGTACAATGGATAAAGCCTCGAAATAGGAGAAAATTCAGTTAGGTACCGCTACGAGTCTAATAATCTGAGTTTCCTTTCAAGCTATGAATGAATCAGAAAAGCAGAATCGCCGCAGCAATTTAACGGTCTCTGTGTAGACGGAAAATTATATAGTAAAACATATTAGAACTGTCAGCCTGAGGTTTTTGACACAACGTCGTTTGATGGTGATGCTAGGCAACGATTACCTTTCGAAGTTAACTATGTACTTCCTTACATTTATGTGGATGCCTCAGGACGAAAGACGCTATTTGTGTTTAAAGAATAGAGAAGGGAGAAGTTGACTGTATTGTACTACTTACGATATTGTACGTTACATTTCCTATTTGGTATTAATTTATACAAATGATTGGACACTGTAGCTTGATGTTTAAGACACCAATAATTAGATGTTTAACCTTTTGTCAAGAACAAATTAATTTGCCAGAAATCTTTTTATGAGATAGTGTAGAAAGTGTGATTTAAGCAACCAGTTGTCTAAATCGTACATCCATTAAATGTCCTATGTAATTTGCGAATAGAAATACTAAATAAAATATGAGTAAGGGAAGGAATCGTCTATTAATACAATTAAATGTAAGTTATTCGCGAAATAATTCGACGTAGAATGGAAATTTTTTAGAATGTACTTATTACTTCATAGTGGAGATTCCAAATAATATAAAATATAGAAAAATTTTCGTAATTAAACGAAACACTGGCATTATCTTGTCTTGAGTTCTTTTATGATCAAGTAAAAGTGAATTTTATTCATTCCGATGGCTATTATACAAGGTGTCTTACCCGATTTTGACATCTTGATTTTCTCGCTATTGTTACTCGTAGCAAAAAATGTTTTAGCTGAGGCTTGAATGGTATCGAGTGGAGCATATTCTGATGTTATTAGTTTTTTTAAATTGGAATGAGGTATTTTTTAATACATCAATCGATGCAGCTACACATTCATTATAAAAAAGTACAAACCTGTGTATGTCGAAAAGTTAGTAGTTCAGGAGATACTTCAATTTAAATAATTCTAAAATACCATTACTAAGACGTTAGCGTTTACATATTTACAGGAATGGTGATAAAGTACGACAGTAATGGTATTTTAGAATTATTTAAATTTAAATATCTCCTGAACTAACTTTTCGACATACACAGGTTAGTAAAAAATACCTCATTCCATTTAAAAAAACAAAGTTGACCTTTATATGACCTTTACGCGTCTACTCACGAAAAAACTAATAACATCAGAATATGCTCCACTCGATACCATTCAAACCTCCACTGAAACATTTTTTGCTACGAGTAACAATAGCGAGAAAATCAAGATGTCATAATCGGGCGAGACACCCTGTATACTCTTAAATTGTTCAGCAACCACGTAAACAAAATTATTTTTATTTTTACTAGGTAATTACGTGGAATATTTACGAATTATTCCTAAGAATTTTCGATAATCGAGAAGCAGCGCGTGCCGCAGCGAGATTTAAAGTTCATCAACCTGTTTACTACAACATCAAACAGAGTGTAAGAAAGTTCGACGTATTCTAAACAATAGAAAGTCTGCTCCGATTTACTTAAGATCCGTTCAAAGATATAAAATGAAAAAAGCGTGCCAATGAAAGTTTTTTTTGGTGAATGTAACTGTATTACGTGCACCGACTGAATTCGTAAAATTTCAATCACGCACTCAACAATTATTTAACTTTCACTTTCTTTAGGGAATGTAATTTTTTTAAAGAAAAAAAGTGATAAAATGAAACTTTATCGGAGCAATAAAGTTAATAAACAATGATTCAAACGAAAGGAACATATCATACCCCTTAATCTTTGGACACGTCCTGTAAGTGCAAGCGTGCAATTGAATAATTTACATCCGATAGAAAGTGAACAGTAGGATGGGATCTCGATAAAAAGTAGGGTGAAGTCGGTCGAACGAGGTAACAAATGGGGATCTATCCGGTAGGCGGACGTATTAAACTGGAAACATACAGTAATGTCTCGATGAGTGCAACGAACTCGGGTCATAAATTTGTTCTTTTTTTGCACGAAGCCGTTCTTCTGCTTAGTTTCTGTTTATTCTGTATTGATTGGTTTCAGAAAGGGAACCCCCCAGTGGTGGGTATAACGCTGTTGTTCGTGTCGCACTCGTCGAGGAATCACGGTATATCGCGCGCCAGAGATATATCGCTAACGAGGTTTAATAACACATGGGAAGTTCGAAATACAGAGTTCCTCGATTGCGGAACAACGCGGAACCGCGACGTTCGGCTGGCGACGTTATCCCCAGGTCTTGCGGTTTTCGAGGCGAATCGTAACCGAAAGCAAAAAATTTCCGCGGTCGACTACTCGGAGAGCGCCGGAGTGAAAGGTGCCTAACATTTTTTTTCTTTTCCTCTTCCCGATCAAACTAATCTTTCGCTCGCGCCACTGTCCCCCTAACGCGTATCGTCTCAACCTCCTCTAAAGTCTTCCGACGTTCTCCCATTGCCGTTACACGATCGTGAAATCGACGAACAGAAACGATATCGTACAGGGTTTTACTCTCTAACCCGATGCCGACGGGACAAGTTTCTTTTTCGGTGAGATGAGATTATAAACCGAGTAGACATGTCTGACCTTCCACATTCACCACCTGTGGATTTTGCGATGGTTTCGCTGCTTATGGGAATGCTCGTTAACCCCTTGGGTATCGTTTTATTTGAAAAAATTATTGCATATGGAAGAAATTTCATTTTTTAGGTGCTTGGAATAGTATATAAATGAGGCACTGTATGTGTGTAATGAGATACTCCCGGCTCCCAGTCGTGTGACCGTTAACCGTATATTAAAAGCATGCGACACCAAACAAAGATCCCTTTCCCCGTATTGAGGAATCGAGGAGAAACAGAAGTGGCATTTGCACAGTCGAAGGAAGCGCTGTCAAATGCAGCCGCGTTGGCACACACGCCGACAGATACGAAGATAGGAATCACGGTGGATGCTTCGGATTATGTGAGGGACGCAACTCTTTGGATAGAAAGAGGGAACTTGGCTATGTTAGGTGTTTGTTTTACAATCGAGAATTCCACGGATATATTGTACATTGTGCATAAAAATTGCAACACCACGAGAACATGAAGTAACGAGGACACCGACAGGTGTTCGTGCTCGGGGGTTGGGCATGTGGTGGTACATATTCTGTCAAACGACTGACAAAACACGGTTCCTTTTGTAATTATTACACTCTCAATCTTCATTTAAGGGGTCATGCTCAGTCAGGAGGCCAAAAAAAGAGTGTTCTTTGGGAATTTTTTTTCTCGAAAATTATAAGATCTTTTTCAAAAAATGTGTTTATGTTTCAAAGATTGCGATTTCTAGATTATAAGGTAATTTTTTTGTTTAAAAATATTTATTAGTAAATAAATGGTGAGCGATCTCCCGGATGTCTCTTCACAAAAAGTGGTCTGCCGTGATCACTGTAACTTCGTAACGGTTCATCTGAAATTAAAAATTCAATAAGATTTATGTAATGAAAGAACCAATCTTGTCCTTGAACGTAGAGTTTTTCGAAATATTGATTAGGAACAAAATAGCGGACGTTTTCCTGAAAAAGTGCGATTTTCACCTAAAAAATCACTCGTTTTTGGTCAATTAAAAAAAAGTATGGAACGAACAAAAGAATCCTTCGTTCAAGGACAAGTTTCTCTGATTTGAAATAAGGCGCAAAAGGCTTCATGTAAATCGACACAGTAGTTTTCGAGAAATATTCATCGATGTGAAAAATGTAGTTTCGAGAAAAACGCGTTTAAAGTTTCAAGTCAAGCTTACACTTACATAACATGTTAATTTTTTAATGCCTGTAACTCTGTCATTTTTAATTGGAGTACCTTGAAACTTGCACAGAATATTCTCGAGATGTTGTACTTAAAGAAAATGTAGAAAGTGAAAAATCGATTTATTGAAAATTTCTGACTGAGCATGACCCCTTGAAATAACGTGTTGCCTTCGAGTACTGTACGAATATCGTAATTAAACAAATATTTATTTTGTTTCGTCTGAATTTGAATGCGCTAAACGCAGATTGAACATGGTATTATATTTAACCCTTAGAGGATGGACAATCTATTTTTAGGTTTTCAAACTGTTTTCACTTGAAGATATCATACATAAGGGTCTTTCTGATCGCCGAATTCAAATTTCATTTGAAAATTAATTTACAGCTGTTTATATTGTCAGTATACAGGGTGTTCACGCTTTGACTAGTCAGTGTTTTTCTCGAAAATAGTAAGTATTAGAAAAAAAATGAAAGACGAATAGGTTTTACAGCTTTCTATGACTAATATAATAGCGCATACCAATTTTTTACGTTTGTAATATTTTTCGAGAAACGAATAGGACATAAAAAATATACAGCATTTCGTTTAAAAAATTAATGGTCTGCGCTAATGTGCTACTAGGTTGGTCATAGAAGACTGCAAAAGTTTTTCCTATTTAAGTTTTTTCTACAACTTCACTATTTTCTGCTAACACAATTTGCAATCGATTACCTTCGTTTGAAAACCATTCACCAAGAAAATAACGAAAAATTGTCTGTCCGCGATCAGACGGTCGCGTTCCTTTGGAACACAGAGCTCTCCTTGAACGCAAAATCGAGCTCGAGTGGCCGAGTCCCTTTCACCAAGCTGTTCGCCGGCGAAACGGCCGACTATTCCTTGCTCGGCTCTCCCTGATTTTCTTTGCATCAGCGCTGCAATCTTGTTACATTCAGAGCAATCTTACGTCTCGTGGAAGAGGCGATTTTCAACGGGTTGTTAATTTGTTTCAAGATTCGAATCGCCTTTCTGCGACACTCTGACCATTTCGAAAGTGAAAACGGTACATTCACTGCACGGATAATAATTATCTGTAACGCTGCAACCACCGACGATAAAAGTGCATCTATTTCTATCGGATCGATAAACATTACTAACTTTTGAAAATATACAAATTTATAAATTAATTCATATTTTATAAATTAACTCGAAAAAATATTCTGAGCTGAAATTTCAGCGCGTGAACTCCACTTTTTACAATAGAGTGGCACGAAAGTTACGAAAAATGAAGTTAAACTATCTGCAGTTAATAATGTAACATTATTAATGCTAAAGATAATTATGTAATTATGTGATATTTATGAAAGTAACATTATTTAATAACTAACTATTCATGATTAAGGTATAATAAGTATTATAAAAAGTTAATAAATTATTATTCAACACTAATAAAGGGTTTCGATAGGAAAACGTCCATTACTTTTGCGTACAATCTACTTTATACAGGGTGAGTCATTTAAATCGATACGCTCGAATATCTTCGAAAACGTTGATGATACTGCAAAATGTTTCAGATAAAAGTTAAATAGTTTGACGTGGCAAATAATTTGATGTAAGTACTTTTTTGTAAGTGGACGTGCAAGGTTCACGAAGGTCAAATTTGGTTTCTAAAATGGAGTCGTATATTATTTAATGCATTAGTATTCTCTAATGCACCTCGTTATTCTCTAGAAAAAAGTATAAACTATTTATGCCAAATTTTGAGGACATATTATAATCTCGATACTGCGAAATGGTACTCAATTTCGGTATATCATTTTAAGACCGTAAAAAGTTTGGAAAATTATGGGTGGCCCTAATTTGATGGCGAAGGACTATATGCTCCTCATCGATATTCTTAATAATTCCCACTGTTCGAATCTGTCAAACATCCGAACGCTGAACTAAATCGAACCGATGATTTCCAATTTGTTTCAGGATGAGGGAGTACGTCGAGGAGAACGAGAAGACTGACCCGCTGATACACGCGCCCGACAAGAAGAACAATCCCTGGGCCGAGAAAGGCAAATGTATAATCATGTAATCAGGACGTGGAAGCAACGGAGCAGGCGAAGGGAAGAGGAAGAAAGGGACTAACATCTGAACGAGGGAGGCGGATCGTTTAACCGTGCTCGGAACGAAACGGGGCGAACAGAGCGAAAAAACAGGGAAACCGTGTAACAAGAGAGAAATGACGAAATGGAAGTGGAGAGAGATCGCGAAACCAGGGGACAAATTATCGAGAAGCCACGTGACGATGGAGTTCGATTGCAAATTCTTAGGTCGACCAAGAAGAGGGGTTCCGTTTTTCTGTGTATCGGAAATGGCTAAACAGGAGGAACCGACGACCAGCGGGACGCGAAGTCTGAACGTAACTGGAGCAAATTATTCTAACAATCGAATCGATCACCTGTTCCGTCGTTAGTCACTTTCCCGTTCGGCATGCAAACAGAAATGAACGTGTTTGCGCGCGCCATTTGAACTTGGCATGCTTCGTGCTGTAACCGTCGGAAGCTGGATCTCGAGATCGAAGCCACGCCTCTGTGGGCCAACGGCGCGAGGACAAAAGACGAAAAAAAAAAAAGTATTGCGTGAGATATTATTATTAATTGGTTAAACTTTCACGTCGTCTGTCTTCCCCATCTTTTTTTCGCTGTCGAGCAAAATGGGGGGGGGGGGGGTGGCACGAAAAGACGGAGAGCGACAAAATTTGGGATCGGTCTGATGATATTCAATGACGGAGAAAAAGTGGTGAACAGCCGAACGGCGTTGCCAAGTGGGAAAGGATGAAAACAGATGAGATTTTTGGCTCCACGCGTACTATACATATACATACTTCCGCCTCGTCCGTGTTCCGACTATGTCGATTGATCGATGTCACGCGTCGGGGAACCACCGTGTGCAATGTTTTTCTTATCTGCTATTATAAAATGGAAAACTCTTTTTGAAATCGTTCATTAAACGTCATAACGATGATTTTAGCTTAAGTAATCTGATATCATTATAATGTACACACACGTTACTTCATGTGTCGGGACGATTAATACGCTATGCATATACTTCTGCGAATTTCTTACGATAATATAATATATTCATATCATTTCAAACGTACCTTGGCGTATCATTTTTACTCCCGCATCAGACCCAGGAATATATTGTTTTTCTGCCGATTCGTGGCTTTATGTTGTCCTTTTAGGGGGGTACAGGTGCGACTATCGATTATCGGGTATATTATCGATATATTATTGATACTTAATGATACATACGATAATATCGTTAAGATATCTTTAAGGCTAATTGAAGCGACCGAGATTGAATGCAAGGTTTTAATTATAAGGAAATCGTTTAAAATTTATTTATTTTTATTGGAACTTATTAGAACAACATATTAGTGTATTTTGGCTGTAATCATGTCCTTTTGTCTGAAAGAATTTATATATTTATATGCATATTGTAAATTATGTATATACAAATTCTTTGATAAAGAAGAAAAATACACTAACATGTTGTCTGCAATAAGTTCAAATAAAAATAAATAGATCTTGAATGATTTTATTACAATTAATGCGTTCCAGTTTACCTCAATCGTTTCTATTCGTCTTAACGATATTTTAACGATCTTATCGTGGTATCGAAATATCGACAACACATTTAACGGTAACTTTATCGATAGTCACACCTCTAGTAGGAGGTGGTCACGGAGCTCTTTGTACGTTTTCAATGAATCTTTAATATTGTATAAAATTTAAGAATCCTGATAACTATGCGTATATTAAACTGACTGGTACTTGAAGCTTGAACTATTTTGATCGAGTAGCAAGACTTATTGGAATCTTTTATAAAGAGAAACGTCAGTAACTACAAACTGTACACAAATGTTACAAAAAGGTTGCATTTATTATGATACTGTATTGATATTTTATTTATCGTTCTTTTAAATATCGTTTTATTTTGAATGTTGCATACAAAGTTACATGGGTGTACGCTTAGACTTGAGTTATCGACTGCATGTACAGGGTATTTTTATGCTGAAACCGACAAACTTCTCTAGAATATAAGGCAGATCATTCTGATTACTTTAGGGATCTATCTGAATGTGTTAAAAAGTCATAACACAAGTAACATACTACCCGTACATTTATTCGATTTGTGGTTAATTTTACTACACGTGTATTTTTTATTTGTAAATACCGATAAACTTCTCGTAAAACTCTTAAGTATACTGTAAATTAGGGTATAATGTAAATGTATAAAATCTGCAGTCTAATAATAGTAACTGCATAGACCAGTTTTTCATGCAGACTCAAACTACATTTAATGCTCACAATCAGTCTATTTGTGTACGTCGATGATTTGATGAATATAGTAATGAAACCAAGTAAATAAACCAAGAAACCAAAAAGGGAAACATGAGACATCGGGGAAGAAAAGCAAGAAAGTTATTTTTTATGTAACTTTTTAATAAATTGAGATAGACCTATTGTGTACATGTTCTTATTGGTTCAGAGTAACTTGCCAAATATGCTAGAGAAATTCGTTGACTTCGTAAGGGAACAACCTATAGAGGAAACACTTTTATTTAAACGAAAAAGATGATTTGGTGCAGGAACACTCTCTTTCACAATGATGATCATTTCTTAGTTGAGAAAGAACCAAGTAAATGACAATAACAAAAGTGAAAGAAGAATACATAAAAGAAACAACAAGACGAAAAGACATGTGTGCTAAGAATACAGGAATGTAATATCTTTTTGCTTGATAAATTCCATTGTAATATTTACACCGTGTATTGTTTAATGGCATTATATTACAGCGTCAAGATTACTATTAACTTTTTTAACAAGTATATACGATATGTTTTTTCGTATTATATTTCATTAAAGAATAAAAAATAAAGGAATGACGTAGACTGTCTAGTTATTGCTAATGATTTAGTTTAATCATGTATTTATGCTGTTATATCGATTGTACTTACGAATTTTTCGCTGTAAACTACACAGTCCTGGTATGAATACCGAAAGAAACTGAAACGTCGAAGTAAGTATGCTAGCAGTACAATTGAAACAGATAAAGCATTTATTATATTCATTGACAATTTGTTCGATAAACTTTGTATTCTCTGCGATTTGATACAGGGAATCATTTTGGTATCTGAATTATATAGGAATACTGATTATTATTTGTAAAACGCTACTTATGTCAATCATCATTCAATGAATTCATTATACTACACCGACGGTTGTTGTGCTTCTGTCTCGAATAATCGTTCCAGGGAACGTTAAAATTTTCAGAAGGTATTTCCAACATTAAATTTCGCATAAGACAAGGTTTATTCTAAAATTTTGACTTAAGTATTTATCGGCAAACCTACGATGAACCGTCACTGATTGTAAATATTATAACACTTATACCGTAAGAAACGTACTATTAAAAGAATTTATACAATATGTAGTTTTTGGTTTTCTCTGCTGTTTTCAAAAATCTGTTGTAGAATCCACAGTGCGGAATGACTATGAACAACGGTTCGATAATGAATATTTCGTTAAATTCGTATCTTCTTACAGAAATATGTGTGTGTATTCTTGTAAATCTTTCTTACTTATGAAAATTTCAGAAATTTCGAAATTTTTCGAATTATGGTAAATCATTTGTAAGCCTAGGGAACCGTTGCATCAAACAGCCATTGTCATGGCTTCGTGATATCTCGCCCACGACATTCTCTACCAGTTCAGTGGACGTTGTTCCACCACTTGCCAACTATTTCTACTCCCTGTCCGACAAAGCGTAAATTCTTGACACGTTCGATGGACGCGAAAATGCGTCCTCCATACAAAAGGCTATGGGATACGAGATTTTTCCCGAGAAAGCATGTTGCATTTTATGAACGGACACAGTTTGTTCGCCCAATTTGCGGAATGGTTTAATAAAAAGTCAAACTTCCGAGATAGAACAAAATTTATTTTTCAGCTTCTTCCAACGTAATTTGTTCTCTGTTTTAAAGGAAATCTTAATTTCTGTAATTGTAATTCTCGTGTACCATTCGGGCTAATTCCATATGAAATTAAAGTTCGATTATCGATTATGATTTTTGTTGCAACAGTTTGTATGTTAATTTGAAATTCATGGTTAACTTACATTAAACATCTACAATAGGTGAGCATATTTTTTCGATTTTTGAATTTAATTTAAGGAATGTTAAAATAATAGTCTTTATAACTGTACGCGATTAAGGGTGAGGATGTGGGAGGTCAAGTACAAGTTTGTAGCAAATCTTGCATCAAACTTGTACCAAATAACTTTATAACAGGCATTGGACAAAATTTGGTTTTGTAGGTTTGGCTGACCAATTGATAAATGTGCAGTAGAAATAATTAAACATTGTCATGACGTGGATTAGGAAACATTTTCAATAACTTCATAAGATTTGCAAGCAACTTTGTTGATGATCGTTTACGACGTATCGAACGAAGCTAAAAGCTCCAATTCTTTAAGGCATTCATCGATCGAAGAAAAGGTTCTACCGTCTGGAATTCTACGACGTGGAAAATGTTCCTGTTACAGACGACGTGCTCCACTTTCAGTGCCATTCTCTTGGTCATACATTAAATGCGTGTCCGCCATTGCAGCGTAAGTGTGCTTACCATTAGTCATTTCACCAATAGATGAACGTCAGTAAATTTGCATGAATGAGCTGTAAAACCGACCGATACGTATCATTAATTCATAAGTGACAGAACTGTTTGTAAATATCAGAACAGATTAACAGGAAGGCTTTAGGTATTTCCATGAACACTCTATACAAGGTGGACCATTTAAATGGGATCACCTAAATCAAAAAGTATAGTAAACAGCTATGTTACGATAAGAACGTATGAATCGATGTGTCACATGTGTCTATAGGAAATTTTAGCTATCTTCAGATAAAAATATCCAATATTCTATATGTCCTATGTTATTCTTACTAAGCAAACCGTTGGAATAGATATTTCCAATTAAAATTACATTATCGACTTAGTACAATGATACATGATGGACTACCCGCTATAATAAATACATAATAGTGTTTAATTTAAGTGATCTTACACGTAATGGTATCCAGTAAGTTCTGAAACTATTTGCGTACCTCACGGTCTTCTACAATCATTGAAGCAATGTATTAATATTAATGGTTGATACTATTACTTCGACACTACTATTTTGCACTCGTGAGAATATTTTCACGGCGAGCAACTGTTACGCATAAATCTGAGGTGACTTTCAACGTTTTTTTTATCGTGCAACATAGCGGTGTTATGTTATTGGGAATCGGCGTGAAAGGTCTACCATTTTTTATTTCGACACACAGGAAATATACAATAAACTTATTTGTGCATTTATAAGAAGCAGATCCAATTTTAAAGGATTGGAAAATAAGATAGCACAATGACGAATATTACGAAAAAGCGAGCATTTACTTGTTATGTTATTGTAAAGAAATATTTCATGTTGCAAAAAATAGTGGATTACATTATGGTACCCATCATTATGGTAATACACCTGGTGGTCACATTTGTGTACATGAAGTTT